ATCCGACTTATTCAAATTTTTATTTAGATAAAGTATTCTTTATCAACGACTTTTTATTTTCACGATTTAAAATTGAGATATTTAATTAAGTGAGGATTATCTTGATCTATTGCACCATATCTTCTGATGTGATAAGAATTAATTGTAAGAAGAGAAAATTAAATCAATTTATTTCATGATAATGACATGTGATTTTGGGTCAAATTCCTGATGTAATGAAAAGTAATGGTGTTTTTTCTAGATAGAGTAAGGATAATTGCTACTGGTTAGCAACTAAAGTTTATTCCATTTTTTTTAATTTTATTTGGTCCCCTCTTTTGCAAACTTTTAATTAATTGATGTTATAGTATGTCTCTATCAAAACTAGGAGAAGTTTCCTCATTTTCCTCCCTAGTCCCTACATCCTTCTTTTTGGTTGGAAATTGGAAAAGTATTGGAGTTTATTTTTATAAAATTTGATTATGTAAAATAATATTTATAGTATCAGATTATTTAAAAGATAATTGTAGATCAGATAAGCATTTAAGAATACGGCGTGACAGTCAATCCAGTGAGTCACCATCTCCACGAGTTAGTTGTTAGATTTGTGACCTTCTACTTATCCCAGATTTTACTTGTGAGGTTTTACTTGGTATTTTTATTGTTGTAATCAATGAAATGAGTAAAGATTTTGAAGAGGAGTTCAATTATCGGCAACGATTAGTCTTGATGAGTTGAGCTACAAATTATCTATGTTAGTGAGATATAACATAGGTATTTAATGACATAATCGAGGTGTGTAAAGATTAAGCCGAAGATTAAGTGAGACTTAGTAATCGGTGTTGAATCTCTATCCTTTGTCTAACCAAATTTGTTGATTCTTGTTTGTTGACTATGAGTTTATTTGTACGTAATGAATTATACCCTTGTCTTCGGTGTACTCAAGTTTTGTCAATCCCAATTAAAAATGGATTCATAATTTCATTTTCACATACAAACCGCCTTATATATAGTCTCTCTACCTTCATTAGATGCGATAAAGTTATATGTACATTACTTTTTTCATATTTCACCGGTCAAATTACGCTGAATATATTGTCGTAAACTCGCTTATACCCAACTTTATTGTAGCCTGATTAGTTGACTCTATTATTAAAAAAGTAATTCATATCTGACTAAACTCAAGATTAAGTATACTAAACACAATAATGTAATGACTGAAATCAACAAGAACACCTAACTCAATACCTACACATGATATAAGCTATTTAATACATTTCATATCAATCTTAGATCAAATAATAAAGTGAATCTTAGTTTAATATTTCTATCAAAGTTATTTTCATATTTCTAACTACTATTTATTTAAATAAGCTATGAAAGTAACAATAATAGTATAGTAGCAAGTGGGACCCTAAAATGTCTTGTAAACAGACAATTTTACTTGTCAAACATACCTAACATATTACCTGTCTTAACATTCTTGACCATGTGATGTTGCACCTTTATTTTTAATCTACCACAATATGATTTTTTTTTTTATTCTAATATTTGATATTCATTTCGAAACTGATTTATTGAGATATGCGTGGCGGAGAGTTTTAGAGGTAAAACGTTTTCTATTAAAAAATGATCCAGTCTTTAAGGACTCATAGGGAGCATCCAAGGAGGTAGTTTAACGATTAATGAAGGTATATAATTATTTCTCATTTGTGTGAATTATGATGGATAGAGTTATATGATATTTATGTTGATAGGAGATAACAAATAGTTAGTAAAATTAGTTGAGATATGCACAAATTGACTTAGACATTATGTTTTCAAATATCGAACACGAATTCCTTAGTAATTAAAAATGTTATCACTTACCACAATCTTTGATGAGTAAATTAAATGATTGTTAATAGTGAAAAATGAATAGGAAGAAATGAGAATTCATATAACCAACACCAATTAGTTTGACTTGATATATATAGTATACGTACAATTAGTTTGACATTAAAATGTAGTTGATTGATAATGATAATTAAAATAATATGAAAGATTAATATTTAGTGATGAAAGCAATAATATATTCACATTCCACAACCAGATCTAGCAAGAAATAAATAAAAATCTTATTAAGTAGAGAAACAATTAATTGAATTTGCAAGATAATTATTGTACATAAAATAGAAGGGACTTTACTTGCTTTATCATAAGATCACATGTAATTCTCCATACATTAATCATTACACATGGGGTAGTTTGAATGATTAATATGAAAATACGAATTTAGATTAAAGATACTGAATTTACGTAAACTCGTAACTTAACTAATTCTCTAGATTAAATTTTCCATGATAATAGGTACAAAGGTCAAAACAACATGATTAATTATAAAATTTTGTTTGCAACCACACTAATCATTATATTAATACACAAATAATATCTTTGTCAATGGCAAGGCCATAATGTGATTAATTATGGCAAGAAAATGCCATGATTCAAGGGATAGAAAAATAATAACCATGGAAATGTCATAATCATTACTCCATTATCATATTATTATATTGTCTATTGTTTTTAATTTTTCATTCAGTGTCCAAGATCTACACTGAAATTCAACTAATTCAGAGTGTGTATTTATACATCTTTTGATATATTTTTCGTTTGTCTTCTTACTCGTGGTCTTTCGAGGTTTGCTTTGCTAGCTTTCGCATTACACCTATTTATTTCGGTCCAATAAACTGGCTTATACCCAACTTTATTGTAGCCTAGATTAGTTGACTCTATTATTAAAAAATAATTCATCTCTGACTAAACTCAAGATTAAGTATACTAAACACAATAATGTAATGACTGAAAATCAACAAGAACACCAAACTCAATACCTACACATGATATAAGCTATTTAATACATTTCATATCAATCTTGGATCAAATAATAAAGTGAATCTTAGTTTAATATCTCTATCAAAGTCATTTCATATTTCTAACCACTATTATTTAACTAAGAAATGAAAGTAATAATAATAGAATAGTATGCACTTAAACTTTGAGAGTGTGTATTTAGACGTCTTTTGGTATATTTTTCGTTTGTCTTCTTACTCGTAGTCTTTCAAGGTTTGCTTTGCTAGCTTTCGCATTACACCTAATTATTTCGGTCCAATAAACTGGCTTAAACCCAACTTTATTGTAGCCTAGATTAGTTGACTCTATTATGGCAAGAAAATGCCATGATTCAAGGTCTAGAAAAATAATTAACAACGGAAATGTCACAATCATTATTCTATTATATTATTTTTTTAATTTTTTTAATTTTTCAATCAGTGTCCAGGACCTACAGTGAAATTCAACTAATTCAGATTTACATGTATAAATTTTAGGAACCACATAGTTTTAATATGAAATTACAATCTATCCTTATTTAGTTTGTAATTACATTAATCCTTGAAAAAGTAAAACAAACCGAATACATAATATGTAGCTCAGATACATTAAAAACTAGCTCGGATACATTATAAAATAAACCGGATACACAATATGTAGCTCGGATACATTATAAAATAATTTAGAATTAGGAGAGAAATAAGGGATTTCAGAGGTTTTTAGAAATAGAAGGGAATATTGGAAATAAGGAAGCATAAGACCTGTATTTCAGTAATTTTTCATATTTACATTGGGTAGGACCCATTTAGAAAAAAACATTATCTACCAAGTTTTTACACCCAAAATTAGAAATCGAGACCTCTAACTAGTTAAAAAAAAGTAGACTCATTTGATGCACCATATCCTTTGATAGCATATTACATATTAAAGTAGCATGAAATATACATGTGATACAAATAAATCGTCTAATTTGTGTAATTAAGTAGTTGTTCCTGGTTTTAGGTTAAACTTGAATTGGACGACAAAAAAATGCTAATAGATTAGCTATATAAGAAATGATATTCAGAAAATATCGACATATATTAATACACATAAAAATGTATATAATTATGAATTCGAGTTTCAATCAGTTTTGGTAGAAGTATCTGGTATTCAGTATTCACTAATCTGATTACTTTAAATTCATGTTGAACTTTAATGAAATTAAATGAGAAAGCATTTCCTAGCCCGGATATCTCCACTCTCGAAGAATTTCTGGTTAAAAATGTAATAATTCATTTATCTTACCAAACCATTTAATTGCATGGTTTTTCCTTCAAATGGTTGGTCTTTAATTTTTTTTTTCTTCAAAAAGGCCGATCTTTAATTTTTGCTTTTCAAAATCTAACTTATCGCCTAGCAGAAAATAAATATTTCAAGAATGCAGAGCATAACTTGTGGGATATTATGTTGTAGAAATATATATTTATGCCCCACAATTTTTTACTTGTAGGACAAAAATTAAAATCCAGGCATAATAGGCCAAAAGTGCAAATGACACCTTACAAAACACCTTCATGGTGTCTTAAGGAGTGGCTACTTATTTAAAGGTTGTAGGCTTATTATATTCATATGTTGACAAATTTGGGCCTCTCTTGTTATATATTCTCTCCCAAAATTGAAGCCCAATTATATGACATCGAATTCTTTAGAAAGTATCAAGTCAGCCTCCAGATAAAATCTACATACATTTTATTCTTTTCAGTTTCTACTCGTAAGATTATACTGAATCTGTTGTTATTATACCTGTTGTTTTTGTTAAGATTACGACAACTTTATAACACAAGAAGTACACAAGAAAAATAAATAAACATGTTTTTACCTACACTTCTTTTGCATCCCATGGTCTTTTGCCTTTCACTTCTACTTATGTAAAATTCAAGAATCACACATGATTTATTCTTTCATTTGATTTCTTCATTCAAATTCTCATTTTCTTGATTAGCACAATCTTTGTCTCACTTAGTTACTTACAAATTTCTATTTTTGGTAGTTCAACTATTCCTCTAAATTCTCTCAATATAAAACCCTCTTCATTTTTACCTCTAAAGACATATCTAAATTTGGGATTTCACTTCACATAAAGCATTCCAATTTGTTGAATTTTTCTTGGTATTTTGGTTAAAATGTTCAAAGAGAAAATCATGGTGGAAGTCACTTTTGCTATTGCTTTCCTTTCTTTTCTTCTTTTCTCAAGTAAGTATTCTCTCAAACAAAATCCTAAATGAACATTATTTAATTTGTCCTTTTAGTTTCCTTTTTTATTTACGATGTCTTTTATACGACATAAGTCATTTATAAGAAAACATTCTTCTTATTTTTCGATATTCGATCAAGAAAATATGTATGTACTTAGGGAAAAATTACTTTCCTCATATAGGACGAAAGTCATTTTACTTTCAACAATCTTAACTTCAAACTTAAACATATTCCATGAAAAATGACTTTATCATACGAAACAAACGTTACAATCTTCTTAAATCACTACAAAAAATATGAATTAGCAACAAACAACTTCTATCTATCTGCTATAAACATAAAAAAAAATCGTCTTTAACAATGAATTAGCAACATGTCATCAAAAAATTATGTTACCTACATGCTATTTAGTGACCTGTTAACGATAAATTTCGTAGCTAATTCCTATATTTATCTATTTATTGATTGGTTAAAACATTTTGTTGATGTAGATGTATGTAGAGGAAGCATAATTGGAATAAATTATGGAAGGGTAGCAAACAATTTGCCATCTCCATATGATTCAATAGAATTATTGAAAAAAATGAAAGCTGGTAGAGTAAAAATCTATGATGCAAATCCAGAAATACTTAGATTATTATCAGGTACAAATCTTCAAGTCTCAATCATGGTACCAAACAATCAAATCTCAATCGTAGCAGCAAATCAATCAGCTGCAAATCAATGGGTACGTGACAATGTTCTACCATATTATCCAAACACCATGATTCGATACATTTTAGTAGGTAATGAAGTCCTAAGTAACAAAGACGATCAAGGTTTATGGTATGATCTTATACCCGCGATGAATAATATTAGGAATTCTATCGATCAACATAATATTCACAACATTAAAATTGGTACCCCTTTTGCTATGGACATATTGGAAACATCATTTCCACCTTCAAGTGGTGAATTTAGGTTAGATATATCGAGAAATAATTTATTGATGCCTTTGTTGAGATTCTTGAATTGGACTAAATCATATTTTTTTCTTGATGCCTACCCTTATTTTTCATGGTCACAAAATACATCATCAATAAGTCTTGATTATGCACTATTTCAAGGAAGTCAAACATATGTGGACCCCGTGAGTGGTTATGTGTACACAAACCTATTGGATCAAATGCTTGATTCAGTCGTTTTCGCCATGCAAAAATTAGGGTTTAACAATATCCGAGTGGCAATAGCTGAAACCGGATGGCCTAATGGGGGCGATTACGATGAAATTGGTGCTAATATATACAATGCAGCTACATACAATCGAAATCTCATACGTAGAATTGTGTCAAAACCACCTATTGGGACACCAGCTCGTCCAGGGTTAACGATACCTACGTTTATTTTCTCTCTCTATGATGAAAATCAAAAGGAGGGTCCGGGCACAGAGAGACACTGGGGTATGTTACACCCTAATGGTAGACCAATGTACGATATCGACTTGACAGGACAAACCCTAGATAGTGAATTCATAGATTTACCACAACCAACAAATAATGGACCATTTCATGGGAAATTGTGGTGTGTGGTGAAAAATGATCATACTATGAATGAAATGGATTTAGGACAAGCTTTGGAATTTGCATGTAGGAGAAATGAAACTTGTGATGAAATTTCTCCTGGAAAATCATGTTATCAACCTGTATCTATTGTATCTCATGCAAATTATGCATTTAGTTCATATTGGGCCAAGTATAAGGAAGATGGTGAAACTTGTTATTTCAATGGGCTTGCTGTTCAAACCAATGTTGACCCAAGTAAGTACCCTAAACTTTTCCTATATTATAAATATGTACAATTCGATCAAACTTATTTATCAAAATGATCAAAATATACCAAATATATATATTGATTATGTATATTATGTGTATATTATACTTAAATATACATACATTTGTTGGTTATTTTGTAAACCAGATCAACTAAAAATATTTGAACTATAATTATCGTTTAACTTATATACATCGTCAACATGGAGATTTTTTTCGCACTATTATTAGTGTATGGGTGGTTGCTAATTGCAATTATTCAAGACAATCATAATTATAAAAAAAATTGAAGTATCAATATCATATATTTTAGTTGATTTTTTCTTCTATTATGTTGAGATAAGGCTCAAGTACCCCCCTAGACTATAACCGAAATCTCAGATACACACCTAAATTGGGTCCTATTATCCCCCGAACTCATTTTTTTTTCATATTTTTGTGCACCTAATGTGGCACCTTCAACCACCCAATGTAGTTGTGTGTGTACACACTTGTCTGCCACATGTGTAAATATTTTTTTAAAATTTTTAAAAATATTCTTATTTTCTTTATCTTGCATTTAAATTAAGTTAATACACATTCTTTGTACTCCCTTGTATCAAAACTTTTTCTTTTTTTTTTTACCTTCATTCATTGTTTTTTCTCTTTTATTTTTCTATTGATTTTATTTATTCCTTTAATTTTCTTTGTCTTTTGTTTTGATTTTAGTTCAAATTTTATTCCAGATGTCTTGTATTTAAAAGGGAAAAGGGTCTGAAAAATACTTCAACTTTGGCCGAAATTGTTGTTACGATACCAAACTTTATGGAGGACCTTTTACCCCCTACACTATTTAATAGTGTATTTTAAAGGTATATATGTGCCCACGTGGACACGGTATTATTTATAATTATGCAATATTTATGATGTCTACATGGCATATATATACCTTTAAAATACACTATTGAATAGTGCAGGAGGGTAAAAGGTCCTTTCCAAAGTTCGGTATCGTAACAACAATTTCGGACAAAATTCAGATATATTTCAGACCTTATTCTCTATTTAAAATAAGTCAAGTTCGAACGGATATCAAAATAAGTGAAGAAGATCAAATAAAACATAAAAATGTTAAAATTAAAGGTCACTTTTAAATTATTTTTAATAAAAATACACAACTTTTTATAAAATAATTAAAAGTGAAAAGATAATAAATTAATTAAAAAAAGTTTAAAGTGAGAAAGAATTAAAATAAATATTTTACAAAGAAAGAAATAAAAACAATTAAATATATAAAAGTTTTAATGTCAATAAATATATACTAACTAATTATAAAGTTACCACTTAAAAAATTATATACGTCCAATTTGTGCACTCATCACTTATCTTCAAGAAAGTGTACACACTCTATGTCATGTCAGTCAGCGTTTGTGACATATTTATTTCATTTTAAATTAGTTTAGGGGGTAATAGGACTCTAGTTAAGTTTATGTGTGTCTCTGAAATTTTAGTCATAATTTAGGTGATACTGGTGCCTTATCCCTATTATGTTCATGTTATTACAAACTAAATTTTTTTTGTTGGTTTAATTTGGCAATTTTTGACAGGTCATGGATCATGCAAATTCCCTTATGTTTCTCTTTAGAAAAACAGTTAGACATTTTTGGAGCCTATTATCTTAATTATTACATCTTAGAAGTGGAATCGTTATTAATTTGGAGGATTGAAATTTTGTAATAAATTTTATGTTATTTATAAAAAGGTACCTTTAAATTCTAGATCTGTCTCATCTCGTATTGGCTTAAAATTCATATTCTTTCAGTTTATAGCTTTGTATATTCCCTTGATAACTTTATTGTTTGAAATCCTTCTAATTTTGAATCTCATCACACTGGTATATATTACTCAATTATTATAGTAACTTGAACTCAAGTTTATTATTATATTATTATAATTTAATAAAATAAACATTTAAAATCTCATATGATCCACCAAAAGTAGTGTGAGCAAGTGGTAGATTTGATTATTAGAACGTGTTTGATTAGTGTGCTGTGTAAATTGTTTTATTAGAAATTAATTATAAGTAATTCTTTGTAATATTTGATATAAAAAGTTGAAAATAAATATATAAAAAATTCTTCGACATTAATTACCTTGATTTGAATGTAATTAAAAAAGATAAAAATAAATCATGTCATACTAATGCGATCAACCAAATGGAGGGAATTTACTCTAATTTGTGCGATTGTGTAAATAGTAAATTTTTTATGAGTGTTCTAATTTAATCGTCTCATTTAATTAATATTTATTTTTTAAAAAAAGTTAAGTGATATTCACCCTTATCGTATTTTTAAATAGTAAATATACAATCCTACAACTTGTTATTTGAGTAATTCTTAGTCTTCTTATTTTTTATAGAAGAATTATTTTTATTAAACATCATTCATTTATTAAAGAATTATGACAATCAATAATATTAATTTAAAATTTTGATCTAATTTATATAAGATCTGTTAAGCGAATTTCAAAAGTTAGATGTTAGATATGTTAAGAAAATACAGCCAGACGCCTAAAACGTAGACCTAATAAAACTAACCCAGAATAAGTGCTAAGGTGAGTATTGGATGGAGTGAAAGATTATTTATTATTATTGCGTTAAAGATTTAATTAAAAAGTATGGTTTCACACGTGATATTAAAATAGAATATAAAACAACTAATTAATAGAATAAAGATTTAAAAACACTAGTGTTGGATGGAGTGGAAGATTATTTATTATTATTGCGTTAAAGACTTAATTAAAAAGTATGGTTTTCACACGTGATATTAAAATAGAATATAAAATAACTAATTAATAGAATAAAGATTTAAAAACACTAGTGATTGGATCGGATTCGATTTCAATAATCAATACGAGTTTAAATTTTAATAACCTTTTTAATCGCATTGGCTTTAATGTTAAGTTGACCTTGTCGATTGGATCGATATGGTACGATAGTCGATAGATATTAAAATATTATATTAAAATTATTATTTTTTGGTCATTGTAATTTTGATACTATGATATTTGAAATAAAATTTGGTATTTATTTAAAAAAAATATATTCAACATGATATTTAAAATTTATAGAAATAATATTGAAACATCCTGTCAAAATATATAGTTATATACACAATTCATATATATTATTATGTACTAACATCTATGTAAAATAGTGTACTTATTAGTACAACATAAATTATTTAGACACTAAAATTATGATTAGTACTCTATATATCGAAATTGAAATGTTTTTTGTGTGTAATTAATTAATAAAGAGAATTATTTGTACTTTCTCTTGAATATTTTTTTATATGTATAAGGTGTTAGTATATTATAATTGAGACATTTAAAAAACATATCATAATTATTTATTCCATGAGTATATGTAAAGTAAAATCAAATAAACTATGATTATTGATGTACCGCATTATAAAGAATATTAAATCTGTTTAAATTGTTGAACAAAACCGAAGTAATTTAATATATATTAATGACATAATATTTTAAAAAATAAAATTATCGAATCAAAATTATTTATATCGTATCATATCCACCCCTACGTGGATCATGGATGCACATGATTCATGCTTTATAATTATATAATTAATATCACTTGAACAAGACCTGCTGACAGGCTTTTATAAAAACAAATTTCTGAGCGGTGCTCATGTGATATTTAAATGTAAGTATGTAACTAATAATACAAAAATATAATACTAAATAAATTGTTAAATTTGATCAAATTTGATTGCAGCTAGTAAGTAATATTTTAATTTTGATAGTGCATATTAAGATACTTTAATTTAGAATTAATTGTCGATTAAATATTTTAATTTATTGTGGACCCTCGATGTTGAAGTGACACATATATAATTATTATTGAAGGTATCGAGATAATTATTTTATAAGTTGAAGTGATTTAGCTGATTTGTACAGTAACTAACGTTGAAGTGATAAGTATGAACCTAAACTTTGAGAGTGTGTATTTAGATAACTTGGTCTCAATTGACAACTAAACATTTCAACTTGTCTTCGATTATTGTATCTTATGGACATTCAACGTTGAAGTAACACATAATTATTATTGGAGATATCAAGATGGCCATTTTATAAGTTAGCATGATTCAACTAACACGCACGGTAAAATTTTTAGAGAGATATCTTTGGAGCCTATTATCTTAATTTTTACATCTTAGAAGTGGAATCTTTATTAATTTTGGAGGATTGAAATTTTGTAATAACCTTTATGTTATTTAAAAAAAGATAGCTTTAAATTTTAGATCTGTCTCATCTCGTATCGACTTAAAATTAATATTGTTTCGATTTATAGCCTTGTATATTCCCTTGATAACTTTATAGTTTGAAACCCTTCTAATTTTGAATCGTGTCACACTGATATATATTACTCAATTATCATAGTAACTTGAACTCAAGTATCATTATTATATTAAGCATCATTCGTTTATTAAAGAATTATGATCATCAATAATATTAGTTTAAAAAATTGATCTAATTTATATAAGATCTGTTAAGCGAATTTCGAAAGTTAGACATTAGATATGTTAAAAAAGTATGGTTTCACACGTGATATTAAAAGAGAATATAAAACAACTAATTAATAAAATAAAGATTTAAAATAATGTATGTCGACACTAGTGATCCGATAGGATTCGATTTCAATAATCGAAACGGATTGGCTTTAATGTTAAGTTGATCTTGTCGATTTCAATTATACTAATTTTTTTTTTGGCTATTTTAATTTTGAAATAATATTTGGTATTTACTTAAAAAAATTATATTCGATATGATATTTAAAATTTATAGAAATAATATTGAAATATCCGGTCAAAATATATAGTTATATACACAATTCATATATATCTATATATATATATATATATTATTACGTACTAACATCTATGTAAAATAGTGTACTTATTAGTACAACATAAATTATTTAGACACTGAAATTATGATTAGTACTCTATATATCGAAATCGAAATGCTCTTTTTTGTGTGTAATTGATTAATAAAGAGAATTATTTGTACTTTCTTTTGAATATTTTTATTTGTGCAAGGTGTTAGTATATTATAATTAAGATATTTATTTTTTTAAAAATCATAATTATTTATTCTATGAGTATATGTAAAGTAAAATCGAACAACCTATCATTATTGATGTACCGCATTATAGGAATATTAAATTTGTTTAAATTGTTGAACAATACTGAAGTAATTTAATATATATTAATGACATAATATTTTTTTTAAATAAAATTAACGAATCAAAATGATTTATATCGTATCATATCCACGTGATAGGATCATGGATGAACATGATTCATGCTTTATAATTATATAATTAATATCACTTGAACAAGACCAGGCTTTTATAAAAACAAATTCCTGAGCAGTGCCCATGTGATATTAAATGTAAGTATGTAACTGATTTGGAATAACAACAGCCAAAACGACTTCCTTTCTTTAGAGTGATCCCCGTCAAGCGAAACCCCATTTCTGAGGTTGGATCCTGCTTGCCAGCTTCAGAATTCCCATATTTAATAATGCCCGAACTCTTTCTTCTGTATCGAGGATCATCGAAATAAGCAAGAATACTATTTCGACGGAAAATACCATTTACGGGGATTTCAATCGAGATACCTGAACAGGGCATTAGTTCATTCTCGAGTTCTTGAATCGAGTGTAGTGGAATGATGAATTTATTTCTTCGCCTTTTTGACAATAAATCAGAATTCCCGTGAAGAATAGGCGAATATACGAGATTATACTGACCAGTACATATGATTCGATTAAGGTCTGAATGTGATGCCAAAAGTTCCTCGAGGAGGTTATCTGAAGAAGGTTCTTCTCATTATCACTGACCGCGATCTTACCTTCTCTCTTCTCTATGAGTATGCTTACAAAAGCACTGCCAATCCCTTTGAACAAGATTCCTGCAAGCTTGGATCAGTTGTGCTTGAGGGTGATTAGAGGAAATCAAATGAATCACAGCATGCAAACAATATTCTAAATCTGTTTCAAGAATGACCTGCTTGTAACCCAAATCCCATGCCAAGTTAGAGGGCATATGAATATGAAATAGCATATGATGAGATTGGTCAATCTTTCTCATTGCTTGACTAAAGAATGCATTTTTTGGCTCTAGCACTCCCGTCATGAGACGTAGAAGCAAAAAAAAGAAAAAAGGGTCAACAACACCAACTAATAATATAAAAATATAATACTAAATAAATTGTTAAATTTGATCAAATTTGATTGCAGCTAGTAAGTAATATTTTAATTTTGATAGTGCATATTAAGATACTTTAATTTAGAATTAATTGTCAATTAAATATTTTAATTTCGTGGACACTCGATGATGAAGTGACACATAATTATCATTGAAGGTATCGAGATACTTATTTTATAAGTTGAAGTGATTTAATTTATATGTATAGTAACTAACGTTGAAGTGATAAGTATGCACTTAAATTTTGAGAGTGTGATTAACTTGGTCTCAACTGACAACTAAACCTTTCAACTTGTCTTCGATTATTGTAGCCTATGGACACTCAACGTTGTAGTAACACATAATTATTATTGGAGATACCAAGATGGTCATTTTATAAGTTAGCGATTCAACTAACACGCACAGTAAAAATAAGTTGAAGATATCTAGAAGTATGTAATCAAATCAAGATATTAGTTGTCAATAACCATAGAATTTCCTTATCATATCATCAAAGTTAAGATATTAGTTATCAATAACCATAATCAAATTAATATATTAGTTGCCATAATTAGCTGTTTAAATATCATAATTCATAAAAAGTAGTGTTTAGCTAAAGTATATCCTAAGTAATACCTATTCAAGTTTTGATGCGAGTCTAATAAAGAAAACCAAAAAATATCAATTCATTTGGGTTTTTCTTCTTTAGTAGATATGAAATAAAAGATTCGATCTCATTGGAAAGACAAAACAATAATATCATGAAAATAATTTTATTGTATGATATTAGTATCACATGTATCCATGACTATATTTATTAATTATATATGTGAGTCTATATAAGAGCACAAAATGTACCATTTGATTCACCATCTTCACCCCACAACCATATAAGGGTATCTCTCTCCCTCTCCCTTAATTTCTTTCTAGGTTATTTTTTTTATAATAAAAGATATATTCGTGTCGTGTGCATGTCGATTAGTTTTATAAAGTATTTTTCATATATTTTATGAATACTGTTCACCGAAACTTAAGCAGAGGAGAAATTAATCGCACTTAGTGTCTTCTCTCTCTAAGTCATATTTAGCTAGTTGTACAAGGAAATCGCTAATTTATTTCCTTTAGACGTTCATCAGAAAATAACGATTTTCTTATAACACACATACATATAATCTTTAATTTAAATATGTTGGCAACGTAGAGAATGTGACATTATCAATGTAATTTAATTTGTTATAGCAAATTAAGTACTTACCATTAATTTTATACTATCAGTAATTATCTTTTAAATAATCTGATTCTATTAATAATATTGCACCATAAAAAATACATAGATTTTTATATATTTACATAACTTGTTTATTTTTCTCATGCAGAAAATCTCTTCAAATAGGGGCAAAATGTTGAACCAAAATAGTCATTTTATTTTCACAATTTTGGCAATATTTTTGGTTTTGCCCCTAAGTTTATTATCCAAAAATGTGAATGCCCAAATTCCATTGAGAAGACATTTATTAAGTCATGAATCAGAACATTATGCAGTAATATTTGATGCTGGAAGTACTGGAAGTAGAGTTCATGTTTTTCGTTTTGATGAAAAATTAGGACTTCTTCCTATTGGCAACGATATTAAGTTTTTCACGGAGGTATGTATATATTTTTGACTAGTCTTTTCTTTTTTTTCGCGATAAACTGTGAATATTATCATTGAACTAACAAAATATGACTAGACACATACTATTATGGATTTTTAAGTTATATATCGTACCTGCAAATAGTTCTGATATCTATCTATACATTCCACTACAGTAGATAGAAATCAATTTTCTCGTTGTTTTTAATCTTAGGCACATTTTTGTTCTAGATAATCTCCTTGAAAAGACTATCATGATTTCCGAACGAATGTAATATATAACTTGTTGTATTAAATTTTTTTTTACACGTAGTTAGTTTGACTTATTATGTAGATTTAATTACCAATGGTTTTATCTTTTAGGTACGTAACTTATAAAGTAAAATTTGTTTAACACTAGTACTCTCTTGACTTGATATATACAGCGATTAAGAAGGATTAAATAATAGAGCTAATTTTATCAAATTACCCTTATTAAATATATAAGTCATCTAAATATTAATAAATGAACAGTACTTAATAGCAAAAGTAAAATAGACTCAAAATGACAAATTATTCATTGATTTAATTATAAACTGGACAAGTATTATTGAACACCCCGAAATAGTATATAGTGGACGAGTAAAAATGGACAGAGAGAGTAGTATTAGTATTATCTTTTCTAGAATTCAGAATTAATGAACTCGAAATTTCAAATATGTCTTTTATAATATTAGATCTTATGATTTGAATTTAATTAATTTTATCTTGATTTTGCAGACAAATCCGGGATTAAGTTCATATGCAAAAGATCCAAAGGCTGCAGCCAATTCACTAGAGCCACTTTTAGATGAAGCTGAAGGAGTTGTTCCTCAAGAATTACAATATGAAACCCCCTTAGAGCTTGGGGTTAGTATTAATTAATTAATTAATTGATGATTAATATTAATAATTACACATATGTTAAAATGAGTTATTAATTTTTATTTTCTTATGTGAATTATTTAAATGATATAGGCAACAGCAGGTTTGAGGATGTTAAAAGGGGATGCAGCCGAAAAAATTCTACAAGCAGTATATATATTATTGACTTTAAAAAATTATTTTTATTTTAGTTAGAAATGATTAATCCTCTTTTTATTACTTTATTAACTAAAGCTTTTTTTGTCATTTTTTTTTTAATTTTGAAAGGTGAGAGATTTAGTGAAGAACCAAAGCACTTTCCATAGCAAAGATCAATGGGTCACTATTCTTGATGGTACTCAAGAAGGCTCTTATATGTGGGTAAGTTACAACAAATTAAATAATTTATCAATGTTTTTTCAGTTGAGCTCATTACTCTGTGTAATTTTTATTTTTTGTGTAATTTACGAGTTATT